GGAACTCCATCCAGGTCTCCTGCATAGGTGGCAGGGGCCCAAGTACTTGGGCAATCATCTGCTGCCTTCCCAGGCACATTGGCAGGAAGCTGGATGGGAAGCAGAACAGCCGGGACTCAAACCAGCGCTCCAGCATACGGGTGATGGCATCCTAAGTAGCAGCGTAACACACTGCATCACAGTGCCAGCACTGCTTTGTTTTGTTTTAAACAAGAACTTAATTTTTTTTTTCCTTTTTCCTTATTTGAGAGGCAGAAAGACAAAGCTCTCACTCACTGAATCATTTCCCAAACACCTGCAACGCAGAACTAGAGCCGGGAACTACAAACTCAACCCAGGTCTCCCACAATCAGTGACAAGGGCCCCACTACTTGACCCATCACTGCTGCCTCCCAGGGGCTGCATTAGCAGGAAGCTAGAGTCAGGAGCCATGGCCAGAACTCCAATTTAGGCATTCCAACACAGGATGTGAGTGTCTCAAACAGTGGCTTAACCACTGCACCAAATGCCTGCCCGTAATTCTGTTTTTCAAAGAACTTTATGAAGTAAACACCCTTTTATACAGGAAGGGTTGTTTATGTTTTCATTTTCTTTTCTTTTTTTTTTTTTTTTTTTTGACAGGCAGAGTGGACAGTGAGAGAGAGAGACAGAGAGAAAGGTCTTCCTTTGCCGTTGGTTCACCCTCCAATGGCCGCCGCGGCCGGCGCACTGCGGCCGGCGCACCGCGCTGATCCGATGGCAGGAGCCAGGAGCCAGGTACTTCTCCTGGTCTCCCATGGGGTGCAGGGCCCAAGCACCTGGGCCATCCTCCACTGCACTCCCGGGCCACAGCAGAGAGCTGGCCTGGAAGAGGGGCAACCGGGATAGAATCCGGCGCCCCGACCGGGACTAGAACTCGGTGTGCCGGCGCCGCTAGGCGGAGGATTAGCCTAGTGAGCCGCGGCGCCAGCCTATGTTTTCATTTTCCCATGTCCCCATGCTCTCCCTTGAACCAAAAGCAGCTGGACAGCTGGGCCTCTGTCCCAGACACCGCACTGACCGTGCTCGCCGTTGCCAGTTTGCAAGGATACTCTCCTGGCACCATCGGTCACAGCCGACCTCTCTGCAGCTGCTGATACCACTGACCCCTCCCTCCTCCTGACACGGTCCCTGGGTTTCTTTCCACACCTCCTTCCCTGACTGCATCATCGCAGGCTCCTCTCCAAGGCCCACCCCTTGGGCACTGCGGTCCCTCATGGCTCTGAGACCCAGTTACCCTCTCCTTCCACATACTCTCCCACAGGGACAGCCTGTTTTACTGGGACTCACGGCCTAACCCGCCACAACTCTGAATTTCAGGCCTGCAAATCTAATGTAGAATGGCCATCTCCTCCGGATCGCACATCTGAAGGTAAACCCGTCTCCCCCTACACACAAACCCACTCACTGCCTTTGTCCCCCAGGGACACCACACACTTGAATCCTGAGTGGGCCCGTCCCTTTCTCTGAAGTCCCCTACCCAGTCAGTCATCAAGGCCCAACACAGTCTACGTCCTAAATCCATCTGCCTTAGGTCTACTTCCCTCCATCTCTGCTGCGGGTAGCTAAGCCTGTCCCGACTGCCTCAGGTCTCACCTGGCGAGTCTGTAGTCTCCCCGGCACAGAACCCACCACGCTGCACCAGGGCGACCCCGCTGGGGATCCAGGTGTTGGAGGCAGACGTCTGGGTTTGAAAATCCCCCTCAGGGCTGGTGCTGTGCCATAGTGTGTGAAACCGCAGCAGCCCAGGCATCCCATATGGGCAACAGTTCATGTCCTGGCTGCTCTACCTCCGATCCAACTCCCTGCTGACACACCTGGGAAAGCAGCAGAAGACGGTCCAAGTGCTTGGGCCCCTGCACCCACATAGGAGACTCAGAAGCAGCTCCTGGCTCTTGGATTTGGCCTGGACGAGCCCTGGCCATTGCAGCCATTTGGAGAGTGAACAAGTGGATGGAGATCTCTCACTCTCTGTCTCTCCCTCTTTCTCTGTACTTCTGCCTTTTAAATAAATAAATCTTAAAAAAAAAAAAAAGAAAAAGAAAAAAAAATCCCATCTCTTGCTAGCTGTATGATTTAGAGTGCTGCTCAATTTCTGTGCTTCAGGCCCCTCATCTACAATGCGGGCAGGAATACCCACGTCACACAGTTGCTGCAAAAACCAAATCAGCATGCAAGGAGAACACGGCAACTGGCATGGCATTGCTGGTTATTACTCCCCCCTAACTATGGGACTCTCTCAGGATGAATTCTAACTCACAGTTTCCACAGAATTCACCAGAGACACCCAAGAAATATCTAAGAGAACTTCAAAAACTATATGGAAAATGGAATTGCACGGTAAGTTGATAGTAGAGTAAAAAATTCATTAAATTCCCTTTTTCATGAACTTTTTTTTTTTTTTTTTTTGACAGGCAGAGTGGACAGTGAGAGAGAGACAGAGAGAGAAAGGTCTTCCTTTGCCGCTGGTTCACCCTCCAATGGCCGCCGCTGCAGCCGGCGCACCGCGCTGATCCTGGCAGGAGCCAGGAGCCAGGTGCTTTTCCTGGTCTCCCATGGGGTGCAGGGCCCAAGCACCTGGGCCATCCTCCACTGCACTCCCTGGCCATAGCAGAGAGCTGGCCTGGAAGAGGGGCAACCGGGACAGAATCCGGTGCCCCAACCGGGACTAGAACCCGGTGTGCCGGCGCCGCAAGGTGGAGGATTAGCCTATTGAGCCACGGCGCCGGCTCTTTCATGAACTTTTTGAAGTAATTTCTTATGTTGATAAATGAAAGAGAAGAGAAAACAAAGGAGACAGGTGGGGGAGAAAACTGATTCAAGAGAATTCAAAGCCAGGCCCTCATATTTGAGCAGATACCTAAATAACCGAAACAATTTTTAAAACAAAAAACCGAGGCCAGTGTCTGCAACACTGCCATCCCACATAGTGACCAGTTCGTGTCCCAGCTGTACCACTTCTGATCCAGCTCCCTGGCCCAAGGGCTTGGGCCCCCGCACCCACATGGGAGATCTGCATGGAGGTTCAGGCTCCTGGCTTCCGCCTGACCCAGCCCTGGGCACTGCAGCCACCTGAGCAGTGAATCACTGGAAGCTAGCTCGCTCGCTCGCTCGCTCGCTCGCTCTCTCTGTGTAGGTCTGCCTTTTAAATAATAAATCTTAAGGGAAAAATATGGAGCTTCATTTAAGAAGTAGTAAGAGAAAAGCTAATGCTTTTGCAGGTATTCACAGTGTGCCAGGCACTCCTATATATATATAAATGAGTTCATTCCTCACAACACTATGAGAAAGACACCAGCATTTCCACCCTGTAGTTCAAAAAACAGGGCACAGACAAGCAACAGGCCCAGCATCCCAGAATCCTGGTGGGCGTCACAGCCAGGTTTCAAATAGTGCAGGTCTGGCCCCAGAGTCTGCGATTTACTCACTGCTCAAACAAACCTGAGAGCAAGGAAAGGGCACCTCCCCAGCAGGAGAAAGGAAACTGAAGAGCAGGCAGAAGAGGCAGGATGAGGCTCAAGATGGAATAAAAGTGATGTTAAAAGCATAAGATACCCAAGAACCACGGAAAACATTTTGACCTTGTGCTCCTGGTGACCTTCAAAAGAGGGCAGAAAAAAAGGACTCGAGGTAAACCAGGGACAGGAGGGCCCCAGAGCCACCTGCAGCAGGTTGAGCAGCAAAACCAAAGCAAACCTCGATAGCAAAAAAGGGACAGTCAGTAGAGAAAACGTGCTGTCACAAAGAAACACATCACCTGTTAAACATTACAAGTATTTAAAATTCTGGAAAATTATAAAATATTTTCTACAAAAAATAAATTGTGCCCAACAACTTTGAGCCCGGGGCTGGTTCTGCTCAGATCTCCTTGTGCCAATCAGAGCAAGGTGACAGCTCTTAGCTGTGTGGTTACAGCACTGTGCACGAAGCCAGGGCTGGTCCCCGGGGAGACCAGGAGCATTAACACAAACTTCTCTCTTGACTCCACAGAAGAAATATTTGGGACACTCGTTCCCTGGTGGCCTGGGGTAAGGCCACCGCCAGCAACCCGGGCATCCCATGTGGGCACAGGTTCGTGTTCTAGCTGCTCCACTTCCGATCCAGCTGCCTGCAGACGGCCTGGGAAAAACAGCCGGTGACGGCCCCAGTGTTCGGGTCCCTGCCACCACGTGGGAGACCCCGAGGAAGTTCCCGGGTTTCTCTCCCGCCCAGCTCCAGCCAATGCGGCAATCTGGGGAGTGAGCCAGCCGATGGAAGATCTCTCAGGCTCTGTCTTCTCTCTGTAACTCTTTCAACTAAATAAGTAAATCTTTACCAAAGATTCCTGGTTTCCATGACCAGTGAATATGATCCTGCGGGTCCCGGGTGCCAGGTGGTCTCAACTGACCAGCGGACCCTCCCGCCCGACCCGAATGCCCACCAACGCCGTCTGTCCCGTCTACACGCCTGGGCCTATACACTCAGACCTGAGAACCTGACTCAGCTCTGGGAACCGTCACAGCAGCACTAAGAGGCGCGCGTGAACAAGGAAGCTCGCTGCGCCGGTCTGCGCTCCTCCACGCCACTTCGTCCGCCCCGCCCTGCACGGCCGCTTAGTCCTAAAGCACAGGTGAGCCGCGCGCTGCACCGCGGGAAAGCAATGCACCTGCCAGACGCACGAGCCGGCTCCACGCGCCGGGGGTGGGGGCTGTGCGCGGCGCGGCGTGCAAGCCCGAGGCGCAGCCACCAGCGAGGCCACCGGCCGCCCGGGGCACGAAGGGCGCCGAGAAGAGCCGGAGCGCGGGCCCGGGGCTCGGACAGCCGGGGACAGACCGAGTCCTGGCGCCCAGACGCGCGCTCCAGAGGACCCGGCGGACAGACCGGGAGCGGGGCCGGGGAACCACCCCGGAGCGACGCGAACACGGAAGACGGCCGCCCGGGGGTCCCGGGGCGAGAAGGCCGCGCGGACGCCAGGCCACGGCGGCCCGCGGCTGTCTCCTTACCTCACGGGCCCCACGGGCTCCCGCTCCGACACCGCTCGGCGGAGGCGAGCAGGCGACCACGACGGTGGCCGGGGGTCGCCTCAGGCCGGAACCGAGGACCAGGGGCCGCGAGGTGGGGCGAAGTTGAGGAACTCAAAGTTCCCAGGAACCCAGAGCCCGCGACCTTCCGCGCTTTACGGCCCCTCCGCAAGGGTACGGCGGGCGCACGACCTCAGCCGCGCACGAGCGCGCCGTGACGTCATCGCGGAGGCCCCGCCCCCGCCGCGTGGGCTTGTTTGGGTCTCGCGAGGCTCCGCCCCCGGGGCGCTCGGCGGCGTCACGGTGGGGGCCCGGCCCTGGGATCCCCGGGCGCCCGCGGCCCTGGACTTCCGCAGTGGCGGGGGCACGGGGCTCCCGCACGGATCTCACTTCTCAGGGACAGCCGCGTCGGGGACGCCTGGCCCGCAGGGCAGGCGCCGTGCGGGGACGCGGGCTCCAGCCGCGCGCGAGGGGCTCCCGCGTCCCCGGGGCGGCCCGCAGCCCTCACAGTCGGCGCTGGGCTCCTGCGCTGGACGCCCGCGAGGGTTTAACAATGAGGAGAGACTAGGGGAGTCCTAGGTGACGTCCAGGGAGTCGTCGCCCGTGATTCCTGAGCCGCTCGGCGACCAGGCAGAGGAATCTGCTAGAAACCCTCTTTGCGGGGGGGTGCGATGGGACAGTGACCCCGCGTCCACCCCAGGCTGCCGCACGCGGCCAGCACTGCCGGGAGCGCGTTTCTCTCTCCGTCTCCCGTCACCGCCCCTCCGCTGCCCGCCTTGAAATGCTGCATCCTGGGCTCCTGGCCGCGTCTTGGCCGTGCTGGGCTCTCTGACCACCAGCGCTGTTTTGAAGGATTGTGGGGCTTTATGTGTGTGTGTGGCTCCTCTTTTTCAACAGGGCATCGGAAGTGCGTGCTGCTCGTGCGGTTTTTGACTCCCGAGTGCACCGCACCCCTCAGAGAATGGATCTTGTTTTCTTGAGTAATTTTTCCGTAGGAAATTTGGATTCACTTTCCTTCCTTTGCAAACATCTCCCTTGCTTCTATCTATCAAGGACAGAGTTTGCAATAGGTGGGAGTGTATTTTTAGCCTGTCTCTAGACCTATGCCACTAGGGGCCAGGGTTGTGGCACAGCAGGATAAGCCTCCGACCGCAACCTGGACATCTGGTATTGGAGTGCCTGCTCCAGTCCAGACTGCGCTGCTCATGATCCGGCTTCCTGCCACCCCTGGGAAAGCAGCAGCAGACGGCCCCGCTGCTTAAGGAAGAGTGCAGCGCAGAATCATTCAGTGTTCATCAGATGTCGGCGTCCTGTCCAGCCCTGTTCAGCTACTCAGTTCTGCCTGCCAGGAGTCACCTCCCAGGCCCACGGAGGGGACACAGTTCCCAGCCTGTGTCCACACGCATGGAACAGCAGGTGGCGCTGTGCGCTGTGGGTTGAGGCATCCTGGGGTACCTGGGCCCCTGAGGGCCAGCGGACACTGTCAGAATGAACTACAAACCCAAGCCAGAGAGGACTGGGCCTCCCGTTGAAGGTCCCCCTCCGGCGTGGCCTCTGTGCAGAGGAGGGACTGAGATGAGTCTCCTTTGGTGCAGGCTCGAGAAAGAGGGCTGTGCCTTTGTTCCCAGCCCCTGTTCCCGTGAAAGGCTCCACAGACTCGGGGACCCTCCGCCCCTGCCATCTGGGAAATCGTGTGGCCCAAGCCCCTCTGAATCCCAGATGATGGGGGCCCAGGTTGTGGCTCCACAAGTCCAGCTGCTGCTTGTGACTCCAGCATCCCAATTCAGGGCACCAGTCCAGGTCCAGGTGGTTCTGCTTCTGATCCAGCTTCCTGCTAACGTGCCTATGAAGGCAGTAGATGGTGGCCCAAGCTTGGGTTCCTGCCACCCATGTGGAAGACCTAGATGAAGCTCCTGGCTCCTGGCATCAGCCTGGCCCAGCCCTGGCTGTTGCAGCCATTTGGTGATTGAGCCAGTGCTTGGAAGATCTCTCTCTCTCTTTCTCCCTATTACTATACCTTTCAAAAAAAAATCAACCTTTAAAAGAGAAAGAAAGAATCCCAGATTGTGGTAGGTGATGAAGAGCAAGGCTTTGGGCCAGTCCTGGTTTCCTAGGTGCCTGAAATAGGGCTGTCCTGAGAAACAGAACCAATAAGATGGGGGCTGGGAGGAGACAGAGATAAAATATTTATGTGTTTATGCACTTAATTTTGAAAGGCGGAGAGAGAGACAGAGATTCTCCATCTGCTGGTTCACCGCTCAAATGCTCACAATAGCTGGGGCTGGGCCAGGCTGAAGCCAGGGGCCTAGATCTCAATTGGTCTCCAAGGTGGGTGGCAGGGACCCAAGTACTTGAGCCATCACCTGCTGCCTTTCACGTGCACATTGGAAGGAAGCTGGAGTTGGAAGCAGAGCCAGGACTCACCCAGGCACTCTGATACAGGAAGTGGGCATCCCAAGTGGCATCTTTTTTTTTTTTAAGATTTTTATTTATTTACTTGACAGGTAGAGTTACGGACAGCGAGAGAGAGACAGAAAGTTCTTCCTTCCGTTGGTTCACCCCCCAAATGGCGCTATGACCTGTGCTGTGCTGATCCGAAGCCAGGAGCCAGGCACTTCCTCCTGGTCTCCCGTGCAGGTGCAGGACCAAGCACTTGGGCCATCCTGCACTGCCCTCCTGGGCCACAGCAAAGAGCTGGACTGGAAGAGGAGCAGCCGGGACTAGAACCCAGCACCCATATGGGATGCTGGCGCCACAGGCAGAGGATTAGCCAAGTGAGCCCCGGCACCGGCCCCCAAGTGGCATCTGAACTGTTGTGCCAAATACAGACAAGGGAGCTCGAATGCTCTTATCTCAGCTGAGAGTCTCTACTTAGGATGTTCTTTTTGAAAAGATTTATTTATTTAAAACAGACTTATAGAGGGGGAGGGAGATCTTCTGTCCACTGGTTCACTTCCCAAATGCTGCAATGACCAAGTCTGGCCCAGGCCAAAGCCCGGAGTCAGACACTCCATCTGGGTCTCCCACATGGGTATCAAGGGCCCAAGTACTTGGGCCATCTTCTGTTCTGTTCCCAGACTGGCAGGAAGCTGGACAGGAAGTGGAGCAGCAGGGACCTGAACTGGCACTCATAGGGGATGCCAGTGTCACAGCCAGTGGCTTAACCAGCTGCACCACCACGTTGGCCCCTCTTCGGATCCTGGTTCCCTCACAGCAGAATCCAGCAGAACCACGGAAGGGAGGAGTCTGAGTTACTACAGGGCCCTACAGAACATGGACACTGACAGAGCAGGGGCCCTGTGGGGTTAATGGGAATCCTAGAAAGAGAGGAAGGGACAGAGGGGACGTTAAGAAATACCTATTTGGGGGCCGGTGCGTGGCTCACTTGGTTAATCCTCTCCCTGCGGCACCAGCATCCCATGTGGGCACCAGATCTAGTCCCGGTTGGTCCTCTTCCAGTCCAGCTCTCTGCTGTGGCCCAGGAGGGCAGTGGAGGATGGCCCAAGTGCTTGGGCCCCTGTACCCGCATGGGAGACCGGGATGAGGCACCTGGCTCCTGGCTTCAGATCGGCGCAGTGCAGGCCATAGCGGCCATTTGGGGAGTGAATCAACGGAAGGAAGACATTTTAAAAAATGATTTGGGGTTGGCATTGTGGCGCAGCAGGTGAAGCCACTGCATGTGACACCAGTTCAAGTCCTGGTTGCTCCACTTCCAGTCCAGGCCTGGGAGAAGCAGCAGCAGAAGTTCAAGTTATTGGGGTCCTGCCACCCACATGGGAGACCCCAAAGAAGCTCCTGAATTTGGCCTGGCCCAGTGCTGGACATTGTGGCCATCTGGGGAGTGAACCAGATGATTCATTCTCTCACTCTCTATCTCTCCTTCTCTCTGTAACTCTGCCTTTCAAATAAATTTTAAAATCTTAAAAAAGAAGCAAGAAAGAAATAGTGCCTTAAGGCCGGTGCAGCGGCTCACTAGGCTAATCCTCCACCTTGCGGCGCCGGCACACCGGGTTCTAGTCCCGGTCGGGGCACCGGATTCTGTCCCGGTTGCCCCTCTTCCAGGCCAGCTCTCTGCTGTGGCCCGGGAGTGCAGTGGAGGATGGCCCAGGTGCTTGGGCCCTGCACCGCATGGGAGACCAGGAGAAGTACCTGGCTCCTGCCATCAGATCAGCGTGGTGTGCCGGCTGCAGCGCACCAGCCACGGTGGCCATTGGAGGGTGAACCAACGGCAAAGGAAGACCTTTCTCTCTCTCTCTCACTGTCCACTCTGCCTGTCCAAAAAAAAAAAAAAAAAAAGAAAGAAAGAAAAGAAAAGAAATAGTGCCTTAAAGCTTCCCAAATGTTATAGAACAATCTACACATCCAGGGAGCTTAATGAACTCCACCTAAGATGTACGCAGACATCCACATCTAGATACGACCAGATAGGACGAATCATGGAAGCTGGAAGGGAAGGAATTCCACACTGTGTACCAGGAAGCCTCAGGACGAACAACCGACTTCTTGCCAGAAATGACACTGGGAGAAGGCCCGTGGGACAACATATTTAAAATGCTGAAAGGAAAAACTCTACTAACCCAAGAATTCCACATCCAGAAAGCTAACCTTAAAAAATGAAGGTGAGGGGTGAATGTTTGGACTCACGGCTAAGACACTGGTTAGGGAGCCCATATCCCACCCTGGAGTACATAGGTTCAATAACCAGCCCTAATCCCAAACCAGCTTCCTACTCATTCAGACCCTGGGAGCCAGTTCAGATGGCTCAAGGAATTCAGCTCCTTCCTCCCATGCGGGAGACCTGTTTTGGGTTCTGAGTTCCCTGCTAGAGGTGGCATTTGGATAGAGAAATCGCAGATAGGAGCACTCCTTATCTACCTCCCTCTCAAATCAATTTTTTTTAATTTATTTATTTATTTGAGAGGCAGAGTTACAGAGAGAGGGAGAGACAGAGACAGAGAGAGAGGTCTTCCACCAGCTGGTTCACTCCTTAAATGACCACAATGGTCCAGGCTAGGCCAGAACAAAGCCGGGAGCCAAGAGCTTCTTCCAGGTCTCCCTCGCAGGTACTGGGGACCAAGCACCTGGGCCATCTTCCACTGCTTTCCTAGGTGCATAAACAAGGAGCTGGATGGGATGTGGAGCAGCTGGGTCTCCAACCGCCACCCATATGGGATGCAGGCACTGCAGGAGGAAG